GAAAAGGATGGAAGGATCCTGTTCATATGGACCTGTCGTCAGACAGAACACTAATAATAATAATAATAACCGGCCTTGGAATCATCTTTACGTCGAACCTTTGGACTTCCTACCAACAATCGTATCATAAACTTTTAATTATATATCATGATCTGCTATCCGTCAGCATCAATTCTATCTGCAGTGTCATAATTTCAGTGTAGTCTGCAAATTATTCAGTTAGGTGTACATATTGATGTCTGTTAGGTCTCTTTAGTCTAGTACAGCGTTTATCAACTTGTGGTACGCGAGCCAATGTTGAGTGGTACGCGAACTAACTAAGAAAATCAAAAGATACTATTAACACAAATAAGTTTTCCCTGAACACATTTGGTTAGTGGTACATTTAATGTGTTAAATTAGAATTAGTGGTAAGCCAGCGAAAAAGGTTGAGAACCCCTTCAATAGTACATTCAGCGAAGGGTTTAAAACCTTGTACGTCCCGTGGTAATTATATGGTCCACTTACTTTAGCGTTCAGTTTCTCCGTAACACCACAGACTATTTATAGACCTCGTATAATTCCCAGAATAACCAGAGATTATTTCCTTTAAACAGCATTAAACAACTAACAGTAATGACGACAAGTTGTGTTTTCTTTGCGGAAGGAAGTAAATATTGAAGTATTATTTAAATGAGTCTTCGAAGATTTAGAATTACATAATTTTCTTCTTCTCGTTTGCCGTTTCCATGTCACTGTCGTACTTCAGCAGATTAAAATAAAATTTGCATAGGCCTAGATTTAAATTCGTTCTCCTTGACTTTACGCCCACCTGTCAGTATATTTTTTCCATTTTTCAAATCACTGTTTAGTCTGAATATAAACTCACGCACTTTTTGGCGGTCTGTTGTTTAATCCAATTCAAAAGACATTAAATATTTTACTTCGAACGTTCCTATACTGGCGTAAATAATCTTAATTAACACATATTTCATTAAGGGACTATAACTTTCCTGTTTTCCGTACAAAGTTTACTAGGTCTACTGCTGACATACATAAAGTTCTTGTACCACAAATCTTACTGAGAAGCTTTATCACTGCGTGCCCATTCTTAACCACTTAGATTTGGTTCACATTATCACATCATATTTAAGATCAAATTTTGTAAGGATCCTCCCATTGATGCCTAAATCTCACTGTTGATCTCTTTCCTTCAGATTTCCTGACTAAAATTTTGTATGCATTTCTCACAACCCCCTTATTTGCTATATGTCCCGCCCATGCCATTACTCCGTGACTTTAGCACTCTAATAATATATGACGATGATTACAAGTTATGAAGGTCTTTTTTTACCTCCTGTTTCTTCTGCTTTAACCTTAAAAATTCTTCTTCTTCTCATCACCCTGTTTTGAAACACCTTTAATCTCTCATCTACCAAATTTTTAAATCCGTATGAAACAGAAGATAAAATTATTGTTTTGTTATAATCATAAACGAGACTGAAAAACTTACTCTGAAATTAATAGTAGCCAGCACTTCATTAGTCCCTATTTGAAGCCGTTATATCCAATATTTATGTTACTGATATCAAATTTAATATCATTCTGCAGTCTAAGTGCCAATATTGTAAGACTCTTTAAATGAGGCTTCTTATCAACAATTTATATATTTATTCCTCCTGCGTTCTACATTACCCGCTTACACGCAGAGATCAGTGTATCAAACAACAAAATTCACAAAATCTTAAAACCCATTTTAAAGTAATATCCCTTGACACGAAACGTGTAACTCTGGGGCCGCTCTCAAAATACTTTGTCAAAGATGTAAATAAAGAATACACAAAATGGTACCGTTACATAGTGGGCTACATAAATTTGCATTTCGTGTTTGATTATCTCGTCTATACAGTCAGGTGTGAGGTGGTAGTGGGGAAACATCAGTTAAAACACACAACCTCCAGTATCGTGATCTGGTGGTTACGACACGTTGTAGTTACCAACATTTCGAAGGAAGACATAGCATCCATGTTTAGGGTATAAGGTGAATGTCGGTAATCACGTACAAGAGTACAAGGTAGTGTAACACTGGCTACGTTGGCGCGTGAAATATTTGGCCTTTTGACAAAAAAAAACAACAAAATTAGCAGTGACATCGTTTGGTCTCTTATATTTTGGAAAACACAGAAGTTAAAAACAAATACTTCAAACCCATCACATTTTATAAATAACTGAGAAATATTAGGATGATTTACAAAACAGATCATTACTATCTAGGATTTTCAGGACCTGAACGCTGTAATCTGAGTTTAAAGACTAATCACCATAAACACGTTACATCTGCTATCCAACAGGTAAAATCTTTTTTATCTTGAGAATTTTCAATCGTAAAAGTAGTTAACGTCACACGAATTGCTGATACCCCGCAGATGTCAATATACGTCAGTGCATTAATATACTCCTCTGTGCAGTGTTGTTATGTTAGCCAAATAAAGTAGTTTAGGATGGGATGGTCATGTAGCTAAAATTTTGATACGGATAATTGAGAGACCGAGAATCAGCTGGGAGTACAACATGGGTGACTAATGTTATACACGAGGGTTGCCGTTCATGCAAACAGCGTAAAACGGGAAACGTATAAAAATCGCCATTTTGATCTTAAACTGGCGCTAGAATTCTTTGGTGCTAAGCTTATCATCTGCATCACATTTCCTGAGAAGCCTGGGGAAAATTCGAAGCGGATAATAGGCTAAAAAATTTGGCCGCGAAACGACAGTCACCTGCTTTCTTTCACACGTCTATTAACCATTCATAATTATCCTTACATATCATCGAACGGCATATGACGACTGCAGTTAATACACCATCGTCAAGAGACCTTACGAAATTATAATATGTTTTGGGTCCGAGCTTAAGAATGGCCCCTGTGATACTAGTCCCTGATTGTATCAGCGTATTGTAACTCTGCCATTTCAATACCACTTCGCTTCTGAGGCAGACACTAAAGAATTTTCGGTAGAAGGACGCGACATGACTTGAAGGCGGTCGGTCTTCGGCGTGGTGTGACCACGGCAAGTTCTCTCTGCAGGATGCACTGTTATGGAAGCATTACGTGTGTGTTCAAGCAATGAAGTATCGTAGGTACCACAATTACATGCACCAGTATTTCCATATGAGAGATTGGTCTTGGCGATCCATGGCATTCAACTGTCGCTCATAAAACTGCATACAACTAGACCCACACGTACAAATTACAGCCACTTCTGGACAGTGGCTGTTTCTGATCAGACTGTGATTGAATCGTAATGATTACTGAAAGTCGGGTTGGCTTCGTGTGCTGGAGGTTCCCGATTCGTTTAATATGCCGAAGACCTGCTATCATGAGGGGGTAAATAGTTTTCCTCAGCATCTCTAAATAAATGCTTGGATAGCAATTAAAACCAGGCCACAATCGTTTTCTTCCAGATACTCCCAATAATTCTATCATTCAACAGTATATTGAAATTATATAAATAACCCAAGAATAAGTCATGTTAAATGACTATTCTCTTTATACACGATAAATATAAAGACACAAAATAATTCATAAATCGCTTGGTTTCTGAGGTAGAAACAGAACTTGATTTTGATTTGCGTATTACAGCCTAATGTTTATAAACCCTGTTATGACGTGCCATTGACATGTGAAATGTTCCATCACAAAGACAGGGAGACGCTTCTCGGACAACAAAGAATGCGAAACTGAAATCGGTATGACCAAAGTGACTAAAGCTTTGGACTGGCACTAGTTGCCATCAGAAATTCATGTCAGGTACCGTTACTTATTGGCGGGCAGTTTGAACAAACTTCGTTAAAGCCCCAAATTTCATTGTGGCATATGTTACACTCAAAGTGAAAATACGAAAACCAGTTTAACTTAGTTCGAAAATAGTAACTCAATATCACTAAAATGGATTTTCGATAGCCTCCGGTACCTTTGAAAAAAATTATGAAAGAGATTTTGAATAAAAATTTTCTTGGATACTATCAATCGTCCAGTTTAATAAAATATAAAACGACGTTTCGGAGATGGGGCTCTATCTCCGTCTTTAGGTATCTACTCAGTTGGGCCCACTAGATAGAGCTAATCCCTATCTCCATCGTCTAGTAAAATATAAAACGACGTTTCGGAGATGGGGCACTATCTCCGAAACGTCGTTTTACATTATATTTTACTAGACGATGGATAATATCCAATAAAAATTTTATTCAAATGACTCATCACCATCGTCAAGAACTTTCAGATTTGAAAGAGATTTTGCTGAACAATTGCATATAAATTAATATTTGATTAATTAAGAGCCTTTGAGGTACAGAATGAGGGCGTTTGAGAATTAGATCTTAAGGATGATATACGGAGCTCTATCAAAAGGGAAGAGATAGGCACGGCTTATAGCAAGCATGAGGGATATGAGAATTCTATATAAAACGTTAGTTGGAAATCCTGAAGGGAAGAGACTGTTGGGAGACTTTGGCGTGGATAGTACGATAATATTAAAATGGATATGAAATAAAAGGATAGTGATGGTGTGGACAAAATTAAGCACTCTCAGGGCAGCTTCCAGTGACGGGTTCTTGTTAACACGGCTATGAACATTCGAGTTCCATAAAAGGCGGTAAATTCTTCTGTTAGCTGAGCAACTACTAGCTTCGCAAAAAGGAATGTGTTTCACAGAGTTACTTCCATTATCATCAAGCTGAATTTTACAACCTATTTACTGGGTAGTACTAACGAGACTACATATTCTTTTGCATTCATTCTGTACCTGTAGGTGTATATCCTTTATTGTGCTGGAGTTTTATTCCTCTCCCAAAAACAAAATATGTATGCAATTTAGTCTCTCGAAATAAAATTATAGCCTAGTTAATATGTCGTTAACATTAATATTAAAGCCCACCCATTATCGTGGCTAGTCTGTTTTAAACGAACGTGAGAAGTTGCTAACAAAAATGTCAAATTTAAAATTCAGACGAGTTTATTTTACCTGCAGCAGCTGCAGAAGAGTGATGAAGAAGAGTAGCAAATATCCATGGCACATTGTCCTACACAATAACCTCCACACAATTCGGCACATGGCAGCCGTTTCTCACGCGTTCAGGCATTTAGGGGCCACTCAGTTTAAACAAATTATCGAATCACATTGAAATTTCCACACTTTACACTCATATCAAATCAGTGTTTCCAAAAAAAAAAAAAATCAAATCACATAAACCGAATGTAATCGTCCAGTGTCATTCACTTTTATCACTCGGATGTTTGTGCAACTGCTGTACTTGTTATGTCTGGTAAGGCATACACGATTTTCCGTCCTTACTTTAAGAAAACTAAAATTAAATATTCAGTTAGCTGTAGCGGTTTTTGAAACGCGCTCCACACTACACACCGCAAACACAACTCTCGCCTGCCACTAGACAACTAAGCGCTGGAAGCTGTGATGTTTGGAGTGGGGCGGTGAGGGGCGGGGGACCCCAGGCAATCTTCCTGCCATAGCTATGCGCATGTCCGCGGGCGCGCTGGGCCAATGGGAAAGGCCTCGCTTCAGACATGTTTTATTTTCTTCAAACATTTCAGTTTTAAAAACGAAAGGCACTCTTCTGCCCTGCTTTCGGTTTATTTATTATTTAGCAGAAACAGCAAGAAGACGTGGGCCATCCAACACTTCGGTAGGAGAACCTGGAAGTTCATCACAACTAACCTGCCACTGGGTTTGATCCGGAGCCAGTTCTAACCATCTCCCGTCCTACAATTATGTATGTCCCTAAGATTCGCCTTCCGTGTCATTCACGGTCTTCCAAGTGGCCGTCTCCCTCTGCATGCATTCCACGGCTCTCCCAGGTGACCTTCATATCTCATCGTATTATCTCATTCAACGCTACTCAAAGTAGTTAAACTTTAACATATTTTTCAAGAATTAAATAAACACAGTGTCTTTAGAAAGACACATCAAACGTTTACTTTTCTATGAGCGATGTTTATTTATAGAAAAATTTTCAACGTTCATAGAGAAATCGATCTTTAATTTGACTATTTTCCTGAAACAAGATTTATCAACAACAGAATTATCGATATCTGAAAGTAAGAGCAATACGATCTATTATTTAAATTGAACTACAAGTTTTGTTATATTTTCCTCTGAGTAGCGTGATTATAAACCAAATATTACGTTAAATAGAATTAAACTATTCCTTGAAATATCAAAAATTCCCGTGTCCCATACACTAAAACGTAATTAAATGCCACTTTAAGAATATACGCTGTGTGACACAAAAATAACGAAACTGATGCTATAACTATTTTTATTTACATAGTTACAAAAATGAACTGTGGTAGCCATCGAAATAGTTCCCTTCGGAGTACACACACAGCTGCTGCCACTGTCGAAAGCAATGCTGTAGATCATTTTCTGTAAGGCTGTTCAACAGTTCCTTCGTTTTTAACTTCCCCCCTTCTGACATCTCAAAATGGGTCTCTTTGAGCGCGGATTTGATCTGATGGGTGGTGAAGCACAATTGCGTTCTTATCCGTCGTATTTTAACCTTCTTGATTGAAATAATCTTAAACGACAACGCAGGTTAGGCCCTGATTAACTCTGTGAAACAGAGTCTGTTCTTGAATCTAATGACCACACAGCTCGTCAGGAAACTTTTCTCTTAGCTTCAGATTTTGCTGCTAAAATGTTGTATGCAGGTGTCATCTCTGCCATGTTGCCTTAATGTTAAGGCCTTATTGTCTGAATGATGTATTGTGAACTGCACTTTCCACAGGATTTGTATGGAGTATTGCTAAGTACTTAACAGCTACATTCAGGGAAAAATTATTTTACTATAGGCCTACTGTAGGCGTTAACTACACAAGTCTACAATATCGAAATATGTAACCTATATTCATACTATTGAAAACTACCCTGAGCCAGTTGAATCCATTCCCTGCATGCATAACCTATTTCTAAATAATTTATTTTGATAATGACTTTCTACTTACAGCTAAATTCTTCCCTTAAGAACTTTCTACCAACAATTTCTCGTGTATTTCTCATTTTAGGAGCGTTCGCATCCACGCGGAACTTCTGTTAAAATAGTTGCATCCGTCTGTCAGTGCGCATAAAACGATTTTAGAACGACTGGATTTATTTTCCTGGAATATAATATTAAGAGTTATACTTAAATTTATTCAGACGGTGCAATTACAGTTAATATCGACCAGAGATAACGGGAAATTTATACAAGTAGTTTAGCTCTATGTGTTCTTTGATCCGAAGTAGGTGGGTTGGAAATCCCCTGGCTACCTTAATTAACCCTATTAATTGGTATGGTTAAAGTTAAAAGATAAAATTATAGAGACAGCACCAGAATTGTTACGCTTTGCTTAGGCTGCATTTCCTTACATGTTCCTATTTGTAATGCCTCAAAACACGATGGACACTTTAACACAGTAATTAATTTCAGCTACCGAAAAACATGGTAAACTTTCTGCAGTTATCAACATTTGAAGATAGACTGAAGTAGGAATAGGCTATAGGATAGGCCTATAGTCCTATTGCATAGTCTTTAACTTCTTGTTTCTAAATTGTGAATGTTATTTGAATGCCGTACAAAAATAAAATACCTACTAAACTATATAAGAAAGAGTTTGATTTCATTTAAAATGTTCTGATCGTCTACAATAATGACTATGGAAGCATTTCAGGCGAGACGAGTAGGATATTTAGCAATCCTACTGCCGAGCAGTTTACAACTGTAACGCGTCTGACATATTCGGAAGATAGCTTATTCCACCAATGTATTAATGTATTGATTTTAAAATTTACAATACCTGATCATCCTCACATTTTACTTGATTCTACTCTTACATAATATCTATATTTGATACATTGCCCTAATTTTTGTGGTTTTTCTTTGTTAGTTTATTTCTCAACATTTTATAGACTATACCCGTGTAATATGACCCTTAAAGGTTCACAGGAATTAAATCTTTTGCTTTGCAGGGTAATACATTATATTGCAGAACCATCTTTACAAATTCCATTGAAAGTACACTTATAAAATGTCTTTATAAACTAAATTAATGTAAAAACATTACGGCGACTGAGGCCAGATTCTTGTCAAACCTAATCAACACAAAACTGACTCTAGACTCCCACCAAATGCAGATTCCCCCAGACACCAAAACATCTTTTTCTTTTACAGCCAGAGTCGCCGCCGTCAGAACGAAATTTTCGTTTTTCTTTCTGCCGAGCGTGACGGACATTGGTCATTATATTATGAGTAGACAGTATGAAACGGAAGAATTGTTGTAAATGGTAATTCTGGAAGGAAATGGTTGTGCATGGCCTGTAAGAGATTCGATCCCAGAAATGCTAGACAGACTAAGAAAAACCATGAGAAAAATCAAGGTGGTGAACTGTTATCCACTCAACCATGATGTTCGGTCATTCTCATTGATGGCGGTGGTCATAGCGAACTCCTCCCTGTAATTAACATGGCTGTTGAGTGAACGTCTCTGATTGGAGCAATGATCTAATGACGAAACTAGAATCTTGCCAATTATTGGTGCGTGTCCGACTGCAGAAACCCGATATTCCAACTAAATTAGTCATCTGGTTATGCGCTTAGTTTGGAAGCGATTGCACTTTGCGTCCTGTAATGCAGCTCTCATGCAGGTCAATATTTCTCGGGGTTATTGCATCTTCATATGAATTCGTTTGGCTCGGATTTCGATAATAGTTTGAAACTTACAGATTGAAAACTGTTTTTTGATGTTCTTATTAGCTTCTTTTTCGGTGATACCACAATTTTTAAGTTGAATGGCCCAATTTTTATTATTACTAACTTGACTCGGAATAAAAGCATGCTATTATTCAGTTCAACAAGTTAGGAAATGTACGCGTTCGCTCTGTATAATTTCAGTTTTCATACAAATGGGTGACGATAACAAGCAATAATCTCATGGCTGCATATTCTAAGCGAGCCAGCGGAACAGACGTTGTTTTGAGAACCAGAATTCCAAAACGAAGTCCATTTTTTAACTTCAAAGAAAGCACAAAGCCTAACCTTTAAAAATCGACTGTTAAATGCTGTTTAGGCTTAAGTAAAATATAACCTTATATCAACAAAACGCGTTTATGTAAACTGATTTTGTCTAATATAAATGCAAATTAAAATGACTCGTCAATTTTTCGTACAATTTCCAGAAATCAAATTTTATAAAGAATCTTTTCAGAACGTAATTGAGTTGGTACAAGTGTAGTCTACAAACAGACAGACGGATGGATGAAAAGTATTTTAATAGACGCTCCGCAGGGTTGCAAAAGGGCCTTACAACCATTGTTGTTTTTTCTTCTGCTTTCTTAGGCACTAAAATTTATATGATTTGCCTATAATAAACTTAGAAGTTCTGAACCTATATTTCTCTACGTACTTACCCTTTAGTTTCATATATTTTAACCTTACCCTTCGAGATTCGTAATCTGTATACGTATTTTTCAGTTTTCGCAAAAAATTACGATCATTATTCTGGGCTTAATCATCATTATAGAACTTCGACCTTCCTATCTTCCAGCGGCCCAAGAACTTTAATATCACTGGAATCTAAATTTGAACTGCAGAAGGGGGTTCGGGGTTAACAGTGAGTTTCCATAAGAACGCTTATTGTTACCTGGTCCTTGTGTAGCTAAAGAATCATTCATTTTACGCATTAAACTTGGCCTTTTCTTAAAGACAGGTTCCTTTAACAGCCACGGGTAGCCCAACTATCGGGATAGTCGTTGTTGTTAAACTTGGAAAGAAAATCACGTAGTTGACAGCAATGGTCACGGGAGACAGCCATGACTTTACGTGAAAAAGGCTGACTTGTCTTTTAATTAGTGCTGTGAAGAGACTACTCAGAAAATCTAGGCTTAAATGGAAGGATAATATTAAAATTTATCTTAGGATAATATGGCGGAACGGTTTGGATAGGATTAATGAGGCTCAGGATAGGGTCCACTGGAGGACTCTTGTGAACGTGGTAATAAACCTTTGGGTTCCGTACAAGACACGGGAATTTCTCGACAAACTGAGTGATTGTGCCTTCTTAAGAAGGACTTTATTCCATGGAGTCAGTTATGTGGATATACGTTCTGCTTCTTTATGAAGTTTTTTTTTCCTTTCCGTGTTGTAACGGTGTTTCGTGGTTTGTCGTAAGTCGTCACTTATTGAAAGAGACGCTAACTGCGTGTATAAATGTTTAGGTCTTTTGATATCTCGTTATATAAGAAGTTTTGCTGTGCAATAGAAATTCGGAGATGCAGTATAATGGTGGTCTGGTAGACACGAACATGTTTTTGAGCTGTATAATATTTTATATATAAAACTTGTATCCTACTGAGTTGCGGTAGCAGTATTAGGCCATTTAAAACGTTT